AGTGATACTCTCTCAAAAGAAAAAAAGCTGGGGATGTAACTCAGTGCTGAAATACTTGTCTAGAGCTTGCCTAGGATATCAGAGTCCCTGAATTCACCCTAGTACTGCAAAAAATAAAGAATTCTTGTGGTCTGATTTTAAATACGATATGTGCACTAAAAATTTAGACAATAAAGCAGAGGTGTACTTCCACAAAAAGTTTCATGTATTTCAAGTATTATCTATGAAGGAAAAAGTGTGAAACAGATGCAAATAAGCCAAATGCTTTCATAAGTGTGGCACATGTACTAGCATGGATATTATGCAATCATATAAAATTATATAAAAGTTACATATCATGAAAGGTTTTATATGTTAAATGAGAAAATACTATTACTTGTTATTCAAAAGAGGAATGCTTCCTAACTCTTTCTATGAGGTCCACCCATACTCCTCTGCTACCAAGCCAAACAGAGTATGATGGTGAATTGTAGTTTTCAACTTGACTGGGTCTAGAATCAACTAAAAGGAAAACCACTCGACACAACTGTGAGGGATTTTCTTCACCAGATTATCTGAAGAGGGAAGACCAACCATCAATGTAAGTGGCATCTTCCAGTGACAGCCCAGAAAAAAAATAAAAGATGAAAGAAAGAAAATAACAGTTTCAGGCTTCCAACACGGACTGAAAATCAGTGGCCTCCAGAAATCTTCCAGGCCTTTGGTGCCAGAATGGAACTGCTGAGACACCTAACCTCATGGACTGAACTACTATGTGTTCTGAGCCTCTCCAGGGTGAGACAGTCAGTCATTGTTGGGCTACCCAGACCATACATGGAAGCCAGTCTAAGAATCCTCCCCCTATTTTGGTCTTTTTGAGACAGGGTCTCCCTGTAGCTCGCAGCTGGCCTGGATTCACTATGGAGACCAGGCTGGCCTCAAACTCACAGAGATCTGCCTGCCTCTGCCTTCCGCGTGCTGGGACAAAAGGCATGCACCATCACACCCAGCTACAAATCAAATCCCCTTTTAATATATACTCATTCTATTTATTCTGTTCTTCTAGAAAACCCTAATATACAGACTTAAGAAAACTACAGACTAATATCCCTTATAAATATAGGTGTAAAATTCCTTTACAAAATTTTATAAACTGTATCCACAAGAAATTAAAAGACTAAATACCATGAAACATCAGGTTTTATTTCAGAAATATAAATGTGGCTAAACAAGAAAATCAATGTAACACCATCAATTCTATTAATAGAGTGAAGAAATCAGGTATCATTTCAATAGGTAGAGAAAAATCATTTGACAAAATTCTATACATTTTCATGATAAAACCACAGAACAATCTAGAAACAGAAGAGAAATTTCTCTGTATGATAAATGGCATTTACTGAAAAATCTATACTTACCATTATATTACATATATTGAAAGTTCCCCCCCTCAACTAGGGAAAAATAAGCTCTCCCCAGTTTCACTACATTTTTCTGGGAGGGGGCACTGTATGAAAAAGAAAAAATCAAAATCAAAATGGATAGAAGACCTAGATATAAGAACTAAAGCTCTAAAAAACTAAGTAGGAAATACGTACTCTTCACGTTCCTGGATAAAGTAATGTTTTGCTTAAAATATGGCATCATAAACATAATAAAGAAAATACAACAAGGGCTAGAGAGACGGCTCAGCAATTAAGAGTGCTTACTAGTTTTTCAGAGGACCTGAGTTCAGTTCCCAGCACACGTATCAGATGAGTTAGAACTACAACTCCAGGGAATCTATTGCCCTCATCTGGCCTCCACAGGCACCTGCACACACAGCATACACTCACACAGACATATACACATACACATAAGTAAAAAATAAAAATACTTTTTTAAAAATTTAAAAGAAAGAAAACACATGAACAGGATTTCATCTAAATTAAAAACCATATGCTGCATATGGTGGTGAAAGCCTGAAATACTACCACTCAGGAGGTTGAGCCAGAAGAACCCTGAGTTGAAGGCCAGCCTGGATGATATAGCAAAATCCTGTCTAAATAAATAAATTAATAAATGAATAAATAGATTTATGTGTCAAAAGATACTATCAAGTGAACAGACACAATCAATTGACCAGTTAATCTAGAAAAGGGAAAATATTTTCTGTAAAGCATATATTTAGTAAGAGTTTAGTAGCAAGAATTACATAAAACTCTTATAATAAATAGACATTATTTTAAAAATGGGTAAAGTATTTAAATAATGTTTCAAAAAAGACTACACAAAAATGTTACAAGTATATGAAAAGATGCACAGCATTAGTCATCAGAGAAATGTACATCAAAATCTCCACATGATACCACTTAGCACTCATTTGGATGACTGAAAGCAAAAATATGAACAATATCAAGTGTAGGCAAGGATGTGGAGAAACTGAGACTCATACATTGCTGGAGGAAAGGCAAAATGGTTCAGCCCTTTGGAAAACACTTTGACAGTACCTCAAAAGTTAAACAAAGATATCAAAGGACTCAGCAATCTCACTCCTGTAGTATATCAAGGAGAATTAAAATGAAAAACATGTAAGAATATATACCTGAATGTTCACATCAGTGTAGCTCAAAATAGTCAAAAAGTATTAACCACATAAATGTCCACTGACTGATGAATGAATGAACAGAATTTGGCATTATACATACAACAAAATATTATTCAGCCACAGAAAGGAATAAATTATATGCTATGTACTTCAATGAAGAATGCTACAATATGGATGAACCTTCAAAACACTGTAAAACATATAAGCTAGACACGAAAGCCACATATAATTCTATAAGTCCATTTATAGAAAAAGAAAAACAAATCTATAAAGTAGATTGGTATTTGCCAGGTAGCAGAGGAAGAGGGGAAATGGAGCTCTGCACAAAGTATAATCCTATTTGTATATGTACATATACATAAATCTGTAAAAGCTCTTCACAGCAGTAACCAGGGTGGAATAGGAATTTGAGAATTTATACCATTCTGAGCTATTTGATAGTTTCATAAAGTTTTAAATAATATTTTACTTTTTTGAATACCACTTCACATATTTAGATGGCTTTCAAAAATAGTACTCAAATTTATCTGTTGAATAAAACATGTGCTATATGATAGGGAAGCCTCTTTATTATTTCCTCTCACAATAAGAAAATGGTTGTTACAAAAAAAAAACAAAAACAAAAAACAATGTACATTTTGGGCTGGAGCAGCTTAGAGCACTAGCTGTTCTTGCAGAGAAACTGGGTTCGGGTCCCAGAACCCAGATGGTAGCTAACAACTGTCCATAACTCCAGTTCCAGGGGACCCAATTCCCTCTTCTGACCTCTGTGGGCATTGTATGACACAGGTGTATTTACATACATGCAGACAATACACTCATACACATAAAATAAAAGTAATAAATAAAAAAATTTTTAAAGGGGGACTAGAGAAATGGCTCAGCAGTTAAGAGCACTGGCTGCTCTTGCAGAAGACATGGGTTCGATTCCCAGCACCTACATGGTGGTTAACAACCATCCGAAAGTCCAGTTCCAGGGGATCTGACGCCCTCTTCTGACATCCATGAGCACTGCACAACACAGATGTACATACCTACATGCAGGCAATATACTCATACACATAAAAAATTAATAAATATTAAAAAAGAACGCACATTTTCTAATCCATCACACTCATTATAAGAGAGCATTTTCAAGCAACTTGCCACAAGCCACTTTACATATTATATACACCAAGAGAAGAAAGAAAATAGCATGGGAGAAAAAAATGTCTATATGCAAAAGAATGAAAAATGACAAAATACAGTGTGCTTCTAATAAGAGGACTAAAACTATATGCTTATGATAATGATTTATGGTATTAGATAGCCAATATACCTCTGATATGTCTTCTAAGGACATGAATGTTCTTTATTATGAAGTAGGGGGAATAAATTTGTTTGGATTCATGCACAGAAAAGTACAGATTACTTAATAAAGGAAAACCTACAAAAGAGTATCTATAGCACCAGAAGCCTGAAAAGTATACCAGCAAAAATATAGACTGCAAGGCCAGGCATGGTGGTGCACACCTTTAATCCTAGAACTCGGGAAGCAGAGGCAGGTGGATTTCTGTGAGACTGAGGTCAGCCTGGTGTACACATTGAGATCCAGAACAGCTGTGGCTAAATGGAGACACCCCCATCTCAAAAAACAAACAAAAACAAAAAACCCCTAACCCTCCAAACCAAACCAACTTACACACACTCACACACACACACACACACACACACACACACACACACACACACACACACACAAAACGCATATTTGATCTACTTTTTAACTTTACAACATGATGCCAAAAAAAAATTACTTCACCTAGACTCTTCGATGGGGTCAATCATACAACCAAAGGAGAAGAAACTCAGGGATGTTAAACTGGGATAGCTGCATAGCTGAATATTTTATACAGGACTGTACCCCTAAAGGCACTGCTGAAGCATTTCAGATTGGATATGAGCACTGCCAGGGTTACCATGGTGCTGGGAGCCCAAGTACTTTTCAGCTATGGCATTTATTATAAGGAACTCAAATACAAATGACATGGAAGTACCACTGAAGAGGGGCCAGTATGGAAGGCACTCTGCATCCTGGTGTGCCCTGCTCCCTTCTAGGAAGAACTCAATAAAGCCTCAATTTTTTCATTCCGGATTGAGAATTAATATCCAACAAAAGGTGAATGGTACATGTAAAAATAATAATAAAAATACTTTGAGGTAGAGATCAAAATTCTGTTTTGTTTTGGGACAGGGTCTCCCTATAGCCCCAGCTGACCTGGAACTCACTATGTAGACCAGGCTGGCCTCAATCTCATAAAGATCACCTGTGTCTACTTTCCCAAGTACTGGGATTAATGGCATGTGTCACCATGCCCAGCCCAATAATTTTGAAAGAGGAATTTCCATTTTTATGTATATAGTAATGATGTTAATTAAAGGGGGAAAAACTTACCTGCCACTCAAACTCACTATCTGACCAATCCCAGTAAGTGCTAATCGAAGAGGAGACATCACTGCAAACACTTCCTTCAGGGAATAAATCAAAAGAAGTGAAGTCTTGATCATCTAACAGAGAATAGCAATCATCTTGATCTCCGACAGAAACTGAAGAAAACAGTTCCTCGCTACATTCTGAGCTGGCAACACTTGTTCCACAAGAAGTAAGGTTCCACCTTGAAAAACCAAAAGAAATCACATCAGGAATCACAGAATCCACAAAACCTGAAAACAATAACAGAACACACTTAGGATACTTGTTAGGAATAAAAAGAATGGTAGAGGGGCTGGAGAGATGGCCCAGTGGTTAAGAGCACTGGGTGCTCTTTGCAGAGGTCCTAGGTTCAGTTCCTAGGACCAACATGGCAGCTAACAACCATCTCTAACTCCAGTTCCAGGAAATTCGACACCCTCTTCTGGCCTCTGTGGGCATTATGCAACATGGATGCACTTACATGCAGGCAAAACTCATACACATAAAATAAAAATAAATAGCTTTTAAAAACATTAAAAAAAGAAAGGTATCTGAGCAAGCCAGATGGAGCCAGTCAATATACAATGTTCCTTCACACTTTCCACTTTACTTGATGCCTCCAGGTTCCTGCTTTGGCTTCTTTCAAAGATGGATGGTAACCTAAGAACCAAATAAACACTTTCCTCACCAAGTTTCTTTGTTCATGGTGTTTATCATAGCAACAGATACCAAACTTGAACAGAACATTAACACTTTGTAGTATTTGGTAAAGGAGGGATTACTTTGGGGGGAGTGGGAGTATCTTGAAATATATCAATTTGTTTATTTTGTAAAGTTCCACTAGTTTTATATCATTAAGATCATATATAATATTAAATTGCCTTACCAGTAGCATAGGGAATTAATTGTTAACTTAATGATTAGTATTTCTAATACTAACAAGCACTGGAATAATGACTTTCTAAAGAAAAGTCTATTATTATATTGTTCCCCAATCTTCATTAAATGTACT